GAAGGAGGAGAAAGAGAAGGGAGATTGGCGAGGAAGAAGGTGCCGACAGCCATAGCCGACCAGAGGGTTGACCGGGGTTTAAGCACGTTGACCAAGCGTTGACCAAGGCATTGACCGGAGCTGCTGATCACGTTTTGACCAAGCTGGAGTTGGTATAATCTCGTCGAGCCCTCAGCCTATCCCCCTGCCCTATGGATGTGCACTCACTCTATGGTACTTGCTGAGTCCGAGTCTGTCCGTCTCTCCTTTCTGCATTGAGTCTCTTTTGTCCAGGTGATAGGACTCCGTGTATGAAGGATAGGGCTTCATTGACCAAACCCCTGCCGACAGAGTAGGGCTAAAAGACTGTGTCTGACGACTCGACTGTCCTGGAGGCCTAACCCTCCCAAGGACCGGTACTAACCGGCGGGCTGCTCGGTGTGGCACGGTAGGCCCGAAATCTGAGCTGTGGGCTGCACAGCGGGCCGTCTAAGTCTTGAGAGAACCTGCTGACCGCGTCGTCCTGTCTGTGACATTAAAGAATTCCTGAGGAGTTACGGGGGATTTCCTTAAATGCCTCCTGGTCAGCAACAGGTTCTGTAGTGACGGTTGTAGTAGTAGAGTCTAGGCTAGTGCCCCTAGTTGACAGGGTCTGAACCGGAGTGAAAGCCAGGTGCGTTTGACCGCAGGTGCTGGGCATCTGGGCCTGGATTGCAAGGACTGTGGTTGCGAAAGCTTCCGTCGGCCGTGGTAATCTGGTTGGAACGAAGGGTAAGATTTTGTAGTCCATAGAGAGTCAGTTAGTTAGTTGTCTGGGTAGGTCTACGCGGTGAGGAGTGGGACAACTTTGTTGTGCACCTGAACACCATGGACGGCTACCCCATGTACGGCTTGCTCGTGGGGTTCTCCCTTTGGGGGACCCTTTAGCGTTTCATTTCCCCATTGGGATTCTGGAACACGTTTACGTGTAGGGTAGACACACGTACGGGGACGAGCACCTCGCCCTACACGGCCGAGGAGGAAGCCAAGGCCGCCGCCATTTTACAAGAGAGAAGAGAGAAGGAGGCCAAGAAAAAGACCTTGATAGAAGCGCAAGCGGCGAAGTTAAAGAAGATTGAGGAGGAGATGGCCAGAGAGAGAGAAAGGTTAAAGAAAGAAGAGGAAGAGAAGCTCTAGGCGGTAGAAGAGGAGGAGGAGGAAGAAACCCCACTGGAAAGACGGAGGGCAGAAGGAAGAGGAGAATCCAGTGGCACGAAAGAGGACTTGATGGAGAAGAAGATTACAGAGTGGGTTGCGGGACTATCCCTGGGGGAAGAGGAGGAGGCCCTAATGTATGTTCCCAGGGAAGAACAAGAGGCAGCAGTGAAAGAGTGGGATGCTGAAGAAGACCCACTCAAGCGGCAGGTTTTGGAAGATGAAAAAAGGATGGAGTGGAAGTTTCGTCTGACAAGGGAAAGGAAAATAAGGATGGAGGCGG